ATGGAACACGCCGGTAGGAATCAGGTATTGATATTCGTGCATTCTCGCAAGGAGACCGGTAAAACTGCACGTGCGATCAGAGACATGTGTTTAGAAAAAGATACCTTAGGCCAATTTCTTCGAGAAGGTTCCGCTTCTATGGAGGTATTAAGGAGCGAAGCGGAGCAAGTGAAGAATCAAGAGCTTAAGGATTTATTGCCATACGGATTTGCCATCCATCATGCCGGTATGACCAGAGTAGATCGTACATTGGTCGAAGATCTTTTTGCCGATAGGCACATACAAGTCCTCGTTTCAACCGCTACTTTGGCTTGGGGTGTTAATCTACCTGCTCATACGGTCATTATCAAGGGCACACAAGTGTATAATCCAGAAAAAGGCAGGTGGGTCGAATTAGGTGCCTTGGACGTTCTACAGATGTTAGGTCGAGCCGGCCGTCCACAGTATGACACCAAAGGCGAAGGAATTTTAATTACCAATCATAGCGAGCTACAATACTATTTGTCCCTTCTAAATCAACAATTACCGATCGAATCGCAATTGATCAGCAAGCTACCGGATATGTTAAACGCAGAGATAGTATTAGGAACCATACAAAATATTAGAGATGCCGTAACCTGGCTCGGTTACACGTATTTGTACGTAAGAATGCCGCGTTGTCCCAATCTCTATGGAATAAGTCATGACAAATTGAGAGAAGATCCTTTATTGGAATTACATAGAGCGGACTTGATTCATTCTGCCGCGGTTGCGTTAGACCGTAGTGGTTTGATTAAGTACGATCGTAAATCGGGAAATTTCCAAGCAACCGAATTAGGTAGAATAGCTTCGCATTATTATTGCACTCACGAAACAATGTCGACGTACAATCAACTTCTCAAGCGTACATTAAGCGAGATCGAATTATTCCGAGTGTTCTCTTTGTCCAGCGAATTCAAAAATATCAACGTCAGAGAGGAAGAGAAATTGGAATTGCAAAAATTAATGGAGAGGGTACCTATACCGGTTAAGGAAAGCATCGAAGAGCCTAGTGCTAAAGTGAACGTATTGTTGCAGGCATACATATCACAATTAAAATTAGAAGGATTTGCACTGATGTCCGACATGATGTTAGTTACGCAATCGGCAACGCGATTAATGCGAGCTATATTCGAAATAGTATTGTTTCGCGGATGGGCCCAATTAGCGGATAAATGTTTATCCTTGTGCAAGATGATAGATCGTAGAATGTGGCAATCGATGTCACTTTTAAGACAATTCCGAAAGATGCCCGAGGAAATAGTCAAGAAAATAGAGAAGAAAAACATGCCGTGGGAAAGATTGTATGATCTCGGACCAAATGAAACCGGTGAAATGATACGTTCACCGAAATTGGGCAAAACCATTCATAAATATGTCCGTCAGTTTCCAAAATTGGAATTGTCGACGCATATTCAGCCGATCACGCGATCTACCTTACGGGTCGAATTAACGATCACGCCTGACTTTCAATGGGACGAGAAAGTACACGGTGCCTCCGAAGCATTTTGGATTCTCGTCGAGGACGTCGATTCCGAGGTCATACTACATCACGAATATTTCCTTTTGAAAGCGAAATACGCGACCGACGAGCACTTGATCAAATTCTTCGTTCCAGTTTTCGAACCCTTACCGCCGCAGTATTTCTTACGCGTAGTATCGGACAGATGGATCGGCGCTGAGACCCAATTACCCGTAAGCTTTAGACACCTTATATTGCCAGAAAAGAATCTACCGCCAACGGAGTTGCTAGATCTTCAGCCTTTACCAATTACCGCATTGCGAAATGCAAAATTCGAAAATTTATATGCCAACAAATTTCCGCAATTTAATCCGATACAAACGCAAGTATTCAATGCGGTATACAATTCCGACGATAACGTATTTGTCGGTGCACCAACCGGATCTGGAAAGACTACAATTGCCGAATTTGCGGTACTTCGTTTGTTGACACAAAATCAAGAAGGCAGATGCGTCTACATGGTCAGCAAGGAGGCATTAGCCGAACTGGTTTATGCCGATTGGCTAGTAAAGTTTGGCCAACAACTGAACAGAAAAGTAGTTTTATTGACTGGAGAAACTGGAACGGATCTGAAATTACTTGCCAAAGGACAAATAGTGATAACGACTGCTGATAAATGGGACGTGCTTTCTCGAAGATGGAAACAACGAAAAAACGTACAAAATATTCAGCTATTTATTGTGGACGAATTGCAATTGATCGGCGGAGAGGAAGGTCCTGTATTGGAAGTTGCTTGTTCCAGAGCGAGATACATCTCTTCACAGTTGGATAAACCGACTAGAATAGTAGCTCTTTCAGCGTCGTTGGCCGATGCTAAGGACGCAGCGCAATGGTTGGGTGCACCAGCTGCGGCAACTTTTAACTTCCATCCGTCGGTAAGACCCGTACCATTGGAATTACACGTTCAAGGAATTAACATCACTCACAACGCCTCCAGATTGGCTGCTATGGCCAAACCGGTGTATAACGCGATATTGAGACACGCCGCTCACAAGCCTGTTATCGTCTTTGTACCAACTCGTCGACAGGCGAGATTAACAGCCATCGATTTGTTAACGTTCACAGCGGCAGAGGGTGCTCCATCGAGATTCTTCCATGCCGAGGAAGCTGATATCAAGCCCTTCTTGGATAGAATGACGGATAAAACGTTGAAAGAGACCTTGTCTCAAGGTATAGCTTATTTGCATGAAGGATTATCTGCGGATGATAGACGTTTAGTCGAACAATTGTTCGACAGCGATGCCATTCAAGTAGCAGTGGCAACCAGAGATCTATGCTGGAGTTTATCCATTAGTTCCCACTTGGTAGTAGTGATGGACACTCAATGTTACAACGGCAAAACTCACGCGTACGAGGATTATCCGATAACGGACGTATTGCAAATGGTAGCACGAGCTAATCGACCTCTCGAGGACGACGATGCCAAGTGCGTGCTCCTTTGTCAAAGTTCTAAGAAGGATTTCTTCAAAAAGTTCTTAAACGAACCGCTCCCAGTGGAGAGTCACTTGGATCACAGATTGCACGATCACTTTAACGCCGAAATTGTTACAAAGACGATAGAAAACAAGCAAGACGCGGTCGATTATTTAACATGGACATTCCTCTACAGGAGACTTACTCAAAATCCAAATTATTACGGATTGCAAGGGGTCACGCATAGGCATTTGTCCGATCACCTATCCGAATTAGTCGAAACTACGTTGAACGATCTCGAACAGGCCAAATGTGTCGCGGTCGAGGACGAAATGGATACATTACCGTTGAATCTTGGAATGATCGCTGCATATTATTACATCAATTATGCTACCATAGAATTGTTTAGTTTATCCTTGAACAACAAAACGAAGATACGCGGTCTCCTGGAGATTATATCGGCGGCCGCGGAGTACGAAACGGTTCCAGTTAGACAACGAGAAGAGAATTTGTTGAGAAGTTTAGCAGCGCGACTTCCTCATGCACCTCAAGCGACAAGAATGGCTGATCCTCACGTGAAAGCTCAATTACTCTTACAAGCTCATCTCTCTAGGATACAATTAGGTCCGGAATTACAAAAGGACACGGAATTAGTTTTGAGCAAAGCGGTTAGATTGATACAAGCTTGCGTCGATGTCCTTAGCTCTTCAGGTTGGTTGACACCAGCCGTTGCAGCTATGGAATTAGCACAGATGGTAACGCAAGCCATGTGGTCGAAGGATTCTTACCTGAAACAATTACCCCACTTTACCTCTGAAACGATCAAACGATGCACAGAGAAAAGCGTCGAGACCGTTTTCGACGTAATAGAATTAGAATTCGACGATAGAAATAGACTTTTACAGCTGACCGATGCACAAATGGCGGACGTTGCTAAATTCTGTAATCGTTATCCCAACATCGAAATGTCCTACGAGGTTCAGGACAAGGATAAATTGCACAGTGGCGGTACCGTTAACGTTATCGTTCAGCTCGAAAGAGAAGACGAAGTGACCGGCCCAGTGGTGGCACCTTTCTTCCCACAAAAGCGTGAAGAAGGTTGGTGGGTTGTCATCGGTGATCCCAAAACCAATTCTCTACTCTCCATCAAGAGACTAACTTTGCAACAAAAAGCTAAAGTAAAGTTAGACTTTGTTGCACCGGCACCAGGACAACATTCGTATACTTTATATTTCATGAGCGACGCTTATTTAGGATGCGATCAAGAGTACAAATTTACAATCAACGTTGGTGAATATGAATCGGATGCAAGCTCTGCTTCTGAATCCGAATAAAGAGGTTGCTGAATTTCATTGTATCTTTCTAATATAGGTTAAATAAAGTCTTTTCTATGTATAATAGATTCTGCGATTTTATTAGGATTCCATACCATCCGATGTGAAATCACCGGGTAAAGGATGTACTGCGAGACTCACAAATGTAACATTTGGAAGAAACGTTAAATATATAATATAAGAAGGAAAGCGTACGTTATTCCAATCACGCATTCATCGTTTACAACCCCAGGAATGTATAGGTATACGCACATATACATATCATATATATATATATATATATATATATATATATGTGTGTGTGTGTATATAAATCTTCTCGTTAGTACGTGTAGGTGTTTATTGTGTGTTATGACGCATAATACTGATAATTATTTGCGTATTATAAGCGAAGTCTATTAATCGGTCGGTTTTTAACGGTGAGAGAATTAGTATAAAAGTAAATTCCAAAGGTTACAGTTTTTTTGTGGAGGGCGGGGGGGATTTATTTTTTCTTTCTCCTTTTTTTTATTTTTTTATATTTTCTTTTTATTTTGGTTTCACTATTTATGTTTGACTGTTAAGGCTTTGATAGGAACACGTATTATTAAACCGAAGGCAGATCGCAGGGAGCTTTTCGTGTTTTCTGTGATAGTACCTGTCAATATATTGATTTGCATAATAGATAGAAAAATATCTTGTTGTATCAAACTAAATACAAAAATGTGTTCGTCTTGTTTTTTCTTTTTTCTTTTTTTTTTCTTTTCCCTTTTTTACTGTAGAAAATGTATAAATTTGTTGTTGGTAAAACGACAAATCGTTTGGATATGCCAAAGTAAACGTATCGAGGCTCGTTAAGAAAGTTCTCAAAAGCTCGTTGCGATCTCTCTTCAATTTTAGCGTTACGATTTCTTGTAACTTAATTAATACTTATCCTGAACACCTGGCGAGACGCGATTAATCGAAATCTCCGCTTCTAAGAAAGAAAATAATAAAACTTGTTCCTTATATAGTTGAATTTTGTAATATATTAGTAGCAGTCGAGCAACGACGCTATCAACGGTTCTGTTCATTTTTTGGATAAAGTATAACACTGAAAAAAAAAAAAGATAAGAGTTTAGCTACACTAGATTCGCTATACTATATCACTGATGCAACGACAATAATCAATGTTGCATTATGTATCTTTTGTCTTTTTTTTTCCTTTTCATTTTTCAATTTCATCCTGTCAATGACGGAAAAAACAGAGAAAATTTGTCATCGAATAAGAAAAATGGAAAATATATCATCACATACTCTGTCGTTGCATCGACGATAAGTATAAGTATAATAAAAATGAGATAGATCGTGATGTCGCATTTTTAGTCTCAACATTCTATGGCTCTAGGTGCGTGCACTTGGTGAATCAGTGAATCATTATCTTCGTACACATTGTTCCGATCGACCGATTGTTCGGATATGTTCGCCGGAATTATTTCCTTTTTTTGTTTTTTTTGTTTTTTGTTTTTTGTTTTTTTTGCTTTATTTTGTCTTTTATCTATTTAATGTGATATATCTTTGGACGAGAGGGGACGGACGTCTCTCAATCAGTTTCTTTTTTCTTTTTTTTTCGTTTTTCCATATCTTTGCACTGTAACAACTTTTATTCCTTTATGGAAAGATCTTCCGTTTACGAAATTACATCTCGATTTTATTTATGTATATGTGTGTGTGTGTGTGTGTGTGTGTGTGTGTGTGTGTGTGTGTGTGTGTGTGTGCGTGCGCGTGTGTGTGTGTGTACCTTAAATCGAGATTTAAAAGTCAAAGAAAGAAGAGGTTAAGAAAGGTAAACGGAACAACGAATATTAAAAAGAAACAAAAAAGAAGAAGAAGAAGAAGATAGAAATAATCCGTCAATGCCGATTAGTCCGTGATCGGTAAGCGCCATAGGTGCTTTTGATAAGTCGATTATCATCAATCGATTAGGATTATTCGACACTGTCGACGATCGCTGTATCATCGAGGGTGTGAAGCCAGTTGAAGATCATCATGTTTCTCTCGTACTTGGATAATTGATTACCACGTTCCCTTTCGACGTCTCTGACGGTCAAGGCATGATTCCGTTCCTTCCGACCGATTATCGATGTACCAGAAAGTCCTGAAGTAGTACCAGGTACGAGCAATGTCGTACCTGGTGTATTTTGTGCCGCACTTGCCGCTGCCTCCAATTGATCCAAGTTGAATTCACTTTGAGATAGTCGTTCGAGAGCTCGATAAGTCGTCAGCAACCTGAGGAGCATGAATCGTATTAATGTTTCAAGGATACATTCCTTTTATGTGTAAACATCTCTAATTTTAGGTTACTCTGGATACTCTTCAGGCGTCCTAGATTCGTCTGTTAGTTTCTTCATAAAATTCCTTTCAATGTCGATATTCTATAGAAAATATTATTCTCTTAAATAGTTTTCTCTTAAATCCTAGAACACGTTTTTACTTTTTCTTTCCTTTTGTAAGTTTCGCTTATCTAGAAAATATCTTGAGGCTTAATCTCTTCTAACCTCGAACGATCTCACAAATTTTCTTCGTTAAAACGAATGATATCGATTTTCGAGTAAGATTAAAAGAGGACCGAACATAACCTTAATTGTATATAGTTATAACCTACCTTCGGCGTATATAATTCTGTCGAACCTTCTTATTGACAGACCTAATGAGATCGGCACCGGTAAAGGGTATCGGTGGTGGTGGTGGAGCTGGTGGTGGCTGAGGTGCAGACGAGTGAGAGCTCGATGATTGTTGCGGCTGTTCTTGCGCTGCACCACCGTGAGGACTCGGAAGTTGAGAGGTACTCGCTACGGGTTCACCAACAGCGACCCACGTGCTACAGGATCTCGAGGCATGATCGAGCCTCGCGTGTTCCAAAAGTAGATTGTTTCTTTGGGTATCGAGCGCCAATGCTGAGACGGCCGAACGAAGTCCAGCTGGTACAGATGCGTCTGGGCTTGGTAATTGCGAGACATCGCTCGTACTGAAGCTTTTACGAAGACCCAGTGCCGAGGAGAGAACACCGCAACTGCGGATCAGATCGTTCTCTTCCTCGAACCAAAGAATTTCCGGAATATCGGCTGGTCTGAACGTCAGATAAAATTGATTCTTAGCTACGTGGGATATGACAAAATGATAGGCTATCGTTAATATAACGTACGTTTCAGACTTTTTCATTAAACTTAATATTTAATAATTCCAATTATATGGACCGTCTAGTATGCGAATATGAGTTAGGGTTGCGTGTCATTCAACGCGTACGTCATATTGACAAATACAAATTCATCCAAAGGAGTAATTGAGAAAAAGTATCGCTAATGATGACACATTTCGAATAAAGCATATTGATGAGTAGAGCAAGCCCATTATTTTTATTCTGCTCTGCACATGACAGATCTCATGAATGGGTCAATGAATGTTCACCCACCTGTTACCCTGAATTTGCCGATCGGGTTTCGGCGAGGGTCCCCGTCCAGCTAGCTGCACATCGCTGTACGACTTGAAGGTGACCAACCTGTTGGCACCTCGTAATTCGCTCGCTATCGAGGATACACTGAAGAGGGAAATATCGGTGGTGACACTTTCGTGACTTGGCGAACGCAACATGCGCGATGTCACTTGAAGCGTTGGACATTGTACGGTGATAAGACTGTTGCAACCTTGCGTGCAAACGTTTGGCACCGGTGAGGCTGGTTTCGTCTCGCTTTCCGACATTCTTTATTTTCCTTTTTCTTTTCTTCTTTTTTCTTTACTTTTTCTTTATTTCACCTTTCTATTTCACCTTCCTTTTTCTTATCCTTTCCCCCTCAACCGTTCGAATTTCGCTCGTGAATCATGCAGGGTCTTATCAAGTTGAACGCTTTTGCCACGATGACCATCGTTTCTGGGCCAAGTCGAGCCGAATGAACCGTCCTTTCAAGATTCACTCGACTACGTCGTCTATTTTAATAACGCGACACCGACGGTGAACGGTCTTCGTAATAAAGAACCTTGCTAACGTCCATCGACGCGAAGAAAACAAGCTCTTTCCCACTCGAGTAACACTTTGCGAGCTCCTCGTTTATCCGTGACCTTGCTCCTCCACTCACGTCTCGATCGTTCCACTTATCTTCGCCGTGTTAATTTATCGCGTGTATCCTCACCGAATCTAATCGAAGCAACGAAACGTTTACTTCTTTATTTTTTCCTTTGAGAAAAATACTTTCGATTTTTGCATTCGTTTCTATTGTCATCAGTTTCTTCTATATATTTTTCTCTGAAACCAAAGAAAAACAATGAAAAGTATGAGAACACGAACAATTTTTTTCTTTTTTCGATATACTTTTCTACTTTGCGAAAGTTTACAAAATATGAAATTTGCTTGGCACATGACGAACGTTTGCAATGAATATGACAATTATTGTTTTTAAAAGTTAATATTCTATTTTATAATAGAACGCTCAATCGTTCGTAATAATTTCTACGTGTTCTCGAGATGCGTGAAAAATTTGGCATATTTATCGTAAAAACAACAAAATGATACAGATATACTAGGTGGCATATAATTTTTCTCATTGACTCGTCGTGATAACGTTCGTTTTTTATTTATTTTATCGGAATCGTTCGATCGAAATATTACTTTACTTTTTATCATTACTATCATTTATAGTGATGCACAATAATCATTAAGAAGACACTTTCACGTGGTCGATAAAAAAGATTGATTGATTGATTAAGAAAAAGTTATAGAAAGATGGATGAAAAACGAAGAACAGTTTTCAACGCGACAGTAGAACGCAACGCGGCAACTGAAATGCACCGCATGCAAGAAAAGGTCTCGTCGTTTCCTCCTCGCGCGCGCGCGCGCGCGTTCTTTCTCTCTCTCTCTCTCTCTCTCTCTCTCTCTCTCTCTTTCTTTTCTATTCTTCCGTTTCATAGATTTCTTCTCTCTTCCCCACAGTCCTCTTTGCACATCAACGAGAGACAAGAGAAATATTATCTAACCGCAAAACAGCAAGTCATGTACTACCAGGCTACAACAATCTGCTGTTTTCGTGACATCCCAATTCTTTTACTTTTCTTTTTATTTTTTATCACATACATAAACGTCAAAATGAATTTGAATCTTCTTGAAGAACAAGATAATCGAATTATCAATAGTTTATTAGTCCCTTTTTCTCATTTTCCTCAATATTTCGACGAAATAAAAGTATATTTTTATAGGAAGGGAAAAAGAAATATATATTTCTTTTTGTGGTAGAATTTATAGTATTTCTTTTCTTTCTCTTTTTTCTTTTTTTTGTTTTCTTTTTTAATTATACCAAATGCAGTGTTATTTTTTTTTTTTTTTTGAATAGAAGAAACTTTGCGAATTTGATTCGTTTTTGTTGATGGATTCGTGCGAAACGTTTAAACGAGTAGAATTAAATTAAGTACACAGGGAAACTACAGACGGAGCTAATCGAGACAAACGCATAATGCGACTTGTTTAAGCCTTTGTTATGTCTTGCAGAATTCATCCATATTTTAACAACTTAATGTACCCTATTCGACGAACTCGAATCCATTACAATGGATCGTACATCGTTTAGTTTTATTCGAAAAAAAATTATACGAATAGTATTTGATCTAAGGTAAAAAAAGAAAAGAAATAAAGTGAAAAAAAATTAAATTAGCAATTTTTGAAGGATTACTATCAAGAGATGTTGATAAACACCTTACAAACTCAATTCTTCATACCTGGCACTTGTGTTAGATTGTTCACTCCTGCATTCTTATCGTATTTCAATGAAATAAAGGAAAAAGAATTTCTTGAATCCGATAATCTCTATAGAAAAAGAAAATGTATTTAGCTTGTTATCAATAAAGCCGTAACACCTTCGCGTCCAGTTTCACGTCTTAACTACGAGTGAAACATTATCTAATCGCATCGATTCCGTGATCTAATCATACCAACTGGTTGTCGAAGGAAAAAAAGAAATAGAAAGAAGAGTAAAACCGATAGAATTGCTACTATCAAGAAATTGACGACTCGCGTGCGGAGACAGGAGAGAAAGTATCGAAATCGTTGGCGAGCAAAGAAAACGTGAAATCTGCTCGTGAAAAAGAGGAATCGATTAATCACTTGACAATTTCATAAATCTCGCTTGGAAAAAGACAGTGAGTTTCTATAGGAAAATATTGTAAGTTTTATCGTTTTCAATAAAATCAAATATTACGATTCATTCAAATCATATATTTTACAAAAAAAAGTAGCTAAAAGCCCCCCCCTCTCTCTCTCTCTCTCTCTCTCTCTCTCTAGATTAAAACTTTCGATTTTTGAAGGATTTGATTTAGAAGAAACAGGCCGGTGTCTATATTTTGGTATAATCAACATTTTCATTTCTGATCTTCTTTTCACCAAGTCGTTAAATCTCGAAGAGGGGTTTCAAGGTTCACGAACTTTTCTTCGAATCGATACTTCGATCCGGATCGACGAACCAAGAGTCTAGTTTTCATGGTCATTGGTGCATGAATGATTCAGCCGATGGTACGGAAGAATAGCTTTGTATATCGAGAATATAAAGAGTGGGAGGGGAAATAGCAACTGGAGGTTATTTTGTCATACGGCGAAGTCGTCCCAGTGGTTATTTTATTGTACTATTCGATCGTACCTATGACTCGACAATTTCGTATACACCGTGTAGTAAAATCGTGAATGGTTCTCGTTCAAGCGGCAAAGTGGAAATGGTCAAAGACGTCTGACAGTCGGTATTCGAGAGTCTTAGGTTCGATGGTTCTAAAGAGAAACGACCTCTAATATAAGTAGTCGAGCATCGTCTGAAGCGGCTATTTCTAGAATATAATTTCATTATCCGATCTAATAGAGAGCCATAAGCGAGTCAAGACAATAACTTTGCTGTCTTTGAACTTTCTACAAGTTCTATAATATCGAATAAATATATTCAACGGATGTAGATTTATTAACAGCTTAAAGTTGAGATTACATGAAATCTAGTAAAATAGCATTTCGCCGAAATCGATTAGCTCGTTATTTCCACCACCATTCTCCTCCCACTTTTCTTCGTTACACGTATACAGTACTCCCATATAAACTATTATATAAATCTAACAAGCGTACCGATAAAGTAACCACGAGTACGGTTAATCGTTTCGCGATCCGGCCCTTGGTTGATAACAATTTATTCGTCCACGCTCGATGTGTTCTAAACGTAAACAATTAAATCGAACGTGCAAAGTGGATTTTGATTCGCTAAACATCTGTTATACTTCTGTTTCACTCTCGACTAACCGGTTGTACCAATGTTTCAAATTCGGACAGTATTCGAATCGAAGAGCGTAAAAGCTCTTATCTCTAATTTCGCAATCACAACAACAACAACAACAACAACAACGAAATCACTTATAATACATACCTATGAGCGAAGAAAACGAAATATATTGAGAAAGACACACTCTAACCACCATTCAAATACACTGTATACATATACACACACGAATATTCACCTCGGATATACATTTCACTGGGCAATTTTCTTCTTCTTCTTCTTTTACTTTCCTTTGGAAAGGAGATCGAAGTATGAGAAAATTCTACTTTCTAGTTTTTTTTTTCTTCGCCAAGAGGTAAGTACAAAGAAAGAGAGGGGAGGAAGGGAGAAAGAAAGAAAGATAAATCGTGAGAACACACGAGAAAAAGGACTAATCCAAATCCAAAGACGTAGAAAAAGAAGTAGAGGATGTTGCTAACTCGAACTAGGTAGAAGGAGACGTAGAACGCAGCAGGACGCGCGAACCAGAGGAGATTGTCTCCCTGGGCTTTACACGGTCGACGCTCGGCACCGAGGGGTTGCTCACTGCACAGGCGTCGATCGATAGGGACGCGGAAAGCCACCCTCACGATTCGCGACTCTCCTTCGCCGGCTACTCGTGCTGGTGACTCGTAACCCCTAGGCGCTCCCGATAGTAGTGCCTCTCTACTCTGTCTTCTTCCCTTTCTTACCCACCACCTGCCATCTCCTCTTTTCTCCTCCTCCTCCTCCTCCTCCTCCTCCTCTTTTACTTTCTTAACTTTTTTTTCCTCTTTCCTCTAGTACCAGACCTCGTCCCACTCGATACTATTGTTAGAAATTATACTCCTTCCAATCTTATTTTTCCCTAATGGACGAGGAAATACTAAACTTTTTTATTTTCTAAAAAACAATTGCGTTGTAGTTTTATCTTTTATATCCCTTCTTTCTCTTCAAATTCAATTGATTGGCACAGTTTATACAAATATTAGTGGGATAGAATAATTAGAATATTTTTAATCAATATGAATTAGAATGAATTTCATCGTTTAGAGAAAAAAAAAAAAAAGAAAAATAGATTTGAGAAAAACAATGCAGATCGGAAAAGCAAAATTCTACTCAAGTGGAGAAAAAAAGGGAATTTGTCGGATCACAGGAGAAAAGGAGGTTGGAGTCTATTCAACGTACGTCGCAGACTTGGCTCTAGGTAATTTCACGATAGGATATCTTACGAACACGTAGGTAGAGAATGAGAGAAAGAAAGATACAGATAGACAGCCAGAGAGAGTGAGAGAGAGAGAGAGAGAGAGAGAGAGAGAGAGAGAGAGAGAGAGAGGGGGACAGGCGTGCACACACACACATGTACAAAGCGACGTTTTCTACGACACGTCGACCACACGTTCGAGATATTACGTGTTCGTAGACATAACGATCTGTATATACGTATGCATATATATATGTAGATATGTGTACACACGTGCGTGCTTGAGAATGCGTAGGTGTCGAGCTTTACGAACGAAAGGGAAATAGAAAGAGAGGTGATCGTGGTTGGAAAAGATGAGAGAAGGCTAAATAGAGGCGAAGAGACGAGGATGAAACCGAGCGAGAACGATCGTCGTGCTCGGTTACATATAACTCTCTCGGTGCTTGCTGCCAGTGTAGTTTAGGCTTTTAGTTAGTGACGGTGTCTCTCACGCGGAGGACCCTCTCCCAGGAAAAGCAAAATTTTCTAACGAAACATCTCGAACCTATCGATCATGCAAAATCGTCCTTACAAGAACGGTGAGTCCTTGTAAATCGTTTCGAAACACGTTTTTTTACATTATTTTTCCTTTTTTTCTCTTTTTTTCTTTTTTTCTCTTTTTGTTCATTTTTCATTTTTCTCTCGCCTAGAAGACAATACGAATTTAATTTTACTAATTAATTAATGCAAACTCGATTAACACGAAGCATTACTTTACGAGTTTCGAATTCGATTTCGTGATTTTTGATCCATTCAATGTACATACGTTGTTACTCGCAGTAACAACGATACGATTAGAAAATTAGGCGACTTAAGTTAAATTGTTCGAAGAAGAATGGACGGAGGGTCGAGTTTCGAGTCGATGACGCAACGAGTTAATCGAGTCTACCTTTTCCATGCACGCATCTTTGAATTACATGTGGGAGTTTCCATCGCTTTTTTTCTCTGTTTATTCCTAGAAACGTTGAACTCATTCAATTTTCTTCAGTTTGCGTTATTTCTATTGTGAAATTGTAACATATGATTTATTATTTAATTAGTTTGTTTCATTACAACTTCACGACGATATTCTTTGATTTTAACAATCGTACGTATTCATTGGTAATTTTGATAACGTTTATAAATTACGACCGTAATTTCATTATTTTTATTTCAAATTTCATTGTTCAATTTGAAAAACAATACATCTTCGATGACTTTTAAGACGATAAAATATAATATAACGTTCTATAAACAAACAAACAAACAAAAAATAAGAATTTTTAAACGCGACTATACGTGAATGTATTTTCAAATTTATTTCTTTTTATTCATTGTAGAAGAAAAATAATATAAAAGAAGAAATTCGTTTCTACACGATCCCATGAATTCCGTTATAACGAGATCTAATATAGAATATATATCCATCGCGTGACCCGAGGCGAAACTCGTTTTAACTTCATCAAATCCCATGAGTTCGATGTTTTTTGCATCAAGTAAAAATTGCAGTTGTTGTGTTTGCAAGACAACGAAATAATGAAAATTGTTCAAACGGTATGGTTGGGTGTTGATAAGGATGAATAATTACCGGTTAATTGCATCTCATTATCGGTTTTCATAATTATCGATAATAACGATGAGTATCGAGAGTAACGAACGTTTGACCTAAATTCACAGATCGAAGTCGGAAATTTCGAGTCCACCTTCGTTGTACTTTTCGATTTCGTTATTACAATCCGTAACGAAAGTTTTCCGCCCGCACAAGTTACTTTCTCTGCGCGCGAAACGAGTTTAAAACCGCGCCTATGCGAATTCTATCGAAAGTGTACGTTTCGTACATACGTATATGCGACATACACGCGCGCGCGCGCATGAAAAACAAGAGAGAGAGAGAGAGACACAGTTCCGAGGACTTACGTTACCCTCACCATCTATTCTCTCTATTTTCGAGCCGGTGTCCCCTCGCAAAAGCTTAGCTGCTTCCCTTAGATACTTCGCCGTTTCTCTCATTTCGAATAAAACGAAATACGTTAAATCGTCATGTATTTTTAGCTCTTACAAATTTACATATATTTCATTTTGCACGTTAGAAGAATCAGAAAACGATTGAAAAGAATCCTTTTTTTTTTTTTTTTCTTTCTTCCTATCTGTCACTTAAATCTATTTGAAGATTTAGAGAAGGGATAGTAGAGATATTTTTACAAAAAATATACATTTTCAAAAAACGAGGAGAAAAGGTTTCCCTTCTCTTTTTTATTTCATTTTATTATTTTTTTCTCATAAGGAAGATGGAAGTAGAGTAGAAATAATCTCCAAACAAGGGAATATGTAAATAAAAAGGAAAAAAAAAAAAGGAAAATAAAGAAAAGAGAAAGAAAAATAGGAAAATACAAGCATGGCAGCTTTTCCTTGATGATTTCGATGGAAAAGATGAAAAAAAAGTAGCGACTCGGAACGGAAGGGGCACGACCAATGCGGGCCAAAGCACTGTGCTATTCATAGATCTTTCTCTTTCTCTCTCTCTCTCTCTCTCTCTCTCTCTCTCTCTCTCTCTCTCTCTTTTCACACGTACACACGTACACAGTATCAGTTTGAAGGCACGATGTGAACGGAACGTGCAATAAAGAGCGAGGTTGGTGAGCTCCACGCACGGCACCGGGAATCGTTGCTGTTCTCGCTGGATCGATGATGCTCCACGATAACAAAGTGGTATTTCAAAAGTTTGCCGTATTCGTGATAGAAAGAGACGGAAATTTCAATTTACCAATAACTTCGATTTATTCGACGGTCTGTTGTTTGCGATTTTATCGCTTTAAAGTCAATAACGTTTTGCCATCTTTCGCCTTTCGCCTTTATTTTTCTTGCTCGTATCCAACGTAAATATTATCCCCATTGTTATTATTGTTGTTGTTGTTGTTGTTATTATTATTATTATTATTATTATAAACACTATTAGTATTTTCCTTCGTTTTATTCTTTTCATTTATTACCTTTTCTCGTGTTACCATTAGTGTTACCGAACAGATATTTGTATATTTTAAGCGTGCCAGGAAGTAGGTTAAGATTTAAGCGGTAACATGGATTGAGGTAAACCATTTGAACGCTCGAAAATATTTCCTATTGATATGGTTCAATGGAAAATCGGTTTCACTCGTACATAAATCGATAAATTTATCTATCCGTTTTTTCCTTTTATTTTTAACATATTGCGAGATATATATCTCTCTTTTTCTCATAGATATTTACAATAGCTAGATACTGTGTACGATTAGCGATAAAATCTGTTAAAAATTATTCACCGATACATCTTGACTCATAAAAGTTGGAAAATTTAAAAATAAAATCTATTCATGCTTTCCCTCGTTCTCATTTAAATCTTTCAGCGACGATGACGAGGCTCTCTGCGGGAGACACCGTCAAATCGACCAATTCGACTAACTCAACGATAAACGGGGAATGTTCCGTGATAATAATTGGAAATGATCCACATCTTCAGTGTACTAGAAAACGAAGACGATTGGATCTTTCGACGACGGCTACGGACATTCCCCAAAAGACGCAACGACGCAACGACGAACAGGACGATGGCTGCGACGTTGATATTACTCCCGTCGATTCTTATCGAAATTCAGAATCAATAAAGCGTGAGAAAAAGAACGACGACGATACGACGAGGAAGTTTAGGCAGGATGTTTCTTACAACGTTAATTGTCTTACGTCTGATCAAAGAAAAAGGTAAAAACGTAAAGGATAATCGATAAGCATTAATAAAATTCTCATTCATAGTATATTAGAAAAGTTGTAAACAAAAAGTTTCGTATCTTCGATACGAAATACTTTACGATATGTTCTATGTTATTGTTCGATTCAAAATATCGTTCACCTTTGTTTACGAGGACGCAGAAACATTATAAAATGTACCATTGTGGATTACAGTAAAAGATTGCCGGACGAGAGAGAATGCCAAGAAGAAAGACAGATTGAAAATGACACTTGTGTAGCAAACGTAAAGAGAAAGAAACAGGAACAGGATGCTTCCGTACGTAGGCTTGTCCTTTCGAATAATAACGTCAAAGACGAATCGACGAGGCTTAGAAAAACGATACAGTGGCTCGAGGAAGGAGCACGTAGATTACGAGAGGATCTTGCTAATACCAGAACCGAGTTGCACGAGGAAAGAAGGGCCGCCAAATTAGTCAAAAGAGAAATCGAAACGGCCATTAGGGAAGCGAAGGCTACGGAAGCTACCAAGTATCAACTTATAATCTCGGAATTGAAGAGCAGGTACGTTTATCGGTTGACCTTGATCGATCGATTAAAATGTCATGGTATTTATCGGTTCTTTGAGTAATAGGTTAATTCTTTGTAAAGGTTTAATGTCAAAAAGAATTACATAATCTATCTATGGATTTAATTAACGCATTTATCGTCAAAGTTTACATAACCTTATGCAGACAAAAGAGATATAATAAAATTTATTCTAATTATTCATTACTGTCGAATTATTATTCGTTTATTAAATTATAATCTTAATCTTGTAAATGTCAAAAGAGCCAAAATATTATGAGTTGGAATAATTGATTAATCGTTGAAAGATTTTGCTCATTAATCTTAATCAAAAGGTTTGTCAAATGTTACGAATTAAAAATACGATGGTAATCGCAAAGTCTCCTGATATCATCGTGAAAAAACCCGAGCGAGCTCCGATAGAGGAGACGTTAAAGTTTACGAGGTCGCGCGAGAAGGATAGAGAAAAGAGAGAAAGAAACAAAAATAAACAAAATAAAAAAAAAAAAAAAAAAAAAAAGAACAAGAAAAAAAGAAAGATGGTGACGAAGACTCGATGGAAAGCAGGAAAGAATAATAAAAAGAATAAGAGGAACGGAAATCACGGCGTGAGTGAGTGACACGAGCATCAAACTTCCTTCTCCTTTACCTGCTTTTTTCCTTTTTCATTCCTCTGCTACGAGTCTCTCTCTCTCTCTCTCTCTCTCTCTCATTCTATCTCTCTCTCTCATTCTATCTCTATCTCTCTGTTCAGACTCTCTCGTGGGGCCTCGGCAGAATCAAATTGCACGTCGCCGTCGCCGTCGTCGTTGTCGTCGTCGTCGTCATTGAAGGTGGACCTCATAAAGGAAGAGAATCATAAACGAGAGATATCGGCAATGAAGAAGCGGCTCGTAGAATCGGAGAATACGATACGAAAGCTCAAGTTGGAAAGTTTGAATCTTCAGGGAAAGAGCGCCCCCTGTAGACTCGATGGTTCCACTTGTGCCGAGGTCCGACGCCTTCAAACTGAAATTCACGCTTTACGCGCGAATAACGAGAAACTCGAAGCGAAATTACGTGTAAGTAATCATCTTACTTTATCGATTATTAATAAATAACATACCCTTTAAGACTCGTTATTAGAAATACGTTCAATATCTTAGTTGGAAAATATATTATCACACATAATCGTTTGATAAGATATATTTATTTGGTTGTTATTTTTCTGAGTTTATGTCGTTTTTATAAGATTTCACCAAGTATTTTCTATTGACCAAAAAATATTTCATTATCTTTAATTGACTCATCCTACATAATATTGACGTATCTATATATCAAGTATGAGAAGAAAATTAGAAAGAGTAAAAAGTATTCGATTAATAAGGATTAAGATGTGTGATTTCATCTATTATGTTGAAATATTAATTTGTTTAATTAACGTTTACTCGTTTAATTATTAAATTCAATGATAGATCATTTAAAGCGATAGAAAAGTTTAAATGAATATCATATCATTATAGATAAGATATCATTATACGTTGACCGTGCTGTAATTTACGAACCAAGTTGACCTCAAGTACGGTCAAGCTATTTCTGTAGTGTTCAGACGTACATACGCACGCGTATGCACAGGACGAGTCTGCCTAGTCACGCGTTTACACGGATTAACAACGTTGCTTTTAGATCTACTAGCACTAATTCTAAAAGGTAATTTAAACTTTCACCTTATAATTAACATCGAACGTATTCCTTTAGATCGCCACAGATGCCGAAAAAGTTCGAGCGGCCGAATTACGGATTCAACATGAGAATCATGAGGCCGAGCTCACTGCATTACGAAAATCTTTGAGAAGCGAAACGATTAAAATGGTAAGTTTTCAAATACTCGAGTTTAATTAGTTTTTAATTAGAGTTTTTTTTCTTTCTTTCTTTCTTTTTGCTGTTCTTCGTAAGAAATGAAGATAAATATGACAAAAATCATAAGACAAAATCGTTAAGATTAGAAAAGTAAAGTTTGAAATAATTAATTCTTGGGGCATCTTGGAAAATGTCATATTTTATTTGAAAAAGAGTAATGTTATTTCCAATTAAAATGTTAATATCATTTCTAGTAGTATTACGAAGAAAATAAGAAATATATTTTATTAGTTTTATCGTAGAATTAATTCAAATAGAAATTATAGAAGACCTAATTGAGTGTAAAACTTGATATTATACCGTTCCAAATGCATAACGTCATCTAATCGTACTTCAGTTTGTTCGATTTTTGAAATTAGCATTCATCCATGAAGATCTAATCGATGATACGCCTTGTGATCGAAACGAAAGAGAACGAAAGAAAATAAGCGATAAAAAGAAAGGAGGCTGCAAGGATAGTTCTCTCACGCATACGATACTGAATTCACAAGGAACGCGAAAATTCGTTTCACGGAGGTTCGATCGAAGGTGCTTATTAAAAAATTGTGCCCTCCAGGTCTAGCCCGTGTCGAAGGAAAAACTATTGGCCATGTCCCTCGCTATAACCGACATTACCTCGATGGACAACATTTTTGTCGATATGAAAAAATCTTTTCTGTCTCTTTTCCTACCTCGTAAGAACCATACCTTGCAATTATTCGAAATCTTCAAACTCTTCCCACGCTATTTATAGGTCCGGAATTTTTTCTGTGAATGGACACTCGTGAAGAGCCCATCAAAGATGCTTTTCATAATTCACCTCGTAACAACGACCCCTTCTTGATGTACTGCATCGATGCTCCGCTTAGCGATCAATTTACTTTGCTTTATCCAACGGTACTAGTTCTTGTTCATCTAATATCTCGTAGAAGAGAAATTTAATCGATATTTAATGTATGTAATGCGAATCTGTCTGGATATTATAAGAAATTTGTCCTAAATTTACTTATTATAAAATTGTATTTTCATCTTATACGTTTCTTTTTATAAATCTATATGTATATAAATCTATATGTATATATATATATATATATATATATATATATATATATATGTATATATATATATAGGACTGAAATGGATCGGATTAATTGGACTTCGATTCGAGGCTTCGTTTACCTTGATAATCGATTTATCACACTACGAGTTGAAATAAGTGTTTGTTCGTTTATTCGGTCGTCAGTTTTTTTTTCTACGGTAAGGTACTCATTTCTCATTTTCGAAGTCTCACGGTAAAAATACAGCTAGGAAAAAAAGAAATTAACGGAAGAGAATGTAACTATGTTCTTTAATAAAATTACTCTTCATCTATTATTATTATGCATACACATCGAGCAACTTTAATCAATTTACTATAACGTTTCAATGTTCTGCTCCACCTTCGTTCAATTTAATTTTCGTTTTAATACGATTAACCGTACCAAATTAGATACTTATTTTAGAGTAGTATAACGAACGAAAGAAGATGTTTTTTGGACGATAAAAAAAAAAAAAAGAAAAAGAAAAAAAACATTCTTTATTAAAATAGACTTTAATGAAAAATAAAATATTGGATACAATTGTTTCATTCTTAAATAGAAAAAGAAAAGCAAGAGATAAATTATTTGTGTAAATTATTTTACTTTAAATCTATATAAATTTATTATTTAACGAGGTTAAAACGACAGAGGATCGTTTGATTTATTTTTATCGCATCAAGTAAGAGTTCCGTGTAATCTTATATACATAGATATTTTAACTCGAGATTACATTGTGAACTCTTTGTTTATTTTTCTGTCTCTATCTCTCTCTCTCTCTCTTTCTCCCTCTTAAATTTGCTTACTCACGATCGAAGCACGATCGGGAGAAGTATCGATGCCCTCTGATGTTTCACGGAACGACCTGCTAATCGCAACATTCGTCGAAAGCGAATTGTATCTGCCGCATTGCCGACGTAAATACGATCTCAATCGGATGCCGGGCGATCGGCCAAATAGCGAAAGATTCGCAATGAAGGGATGAAAGATAAAAAGAGAGAGAGAATAATGGTTACATCTCTTCAAATTAAAATCTGCTACCTATTGAAAAATTGAAAACGCTTCGTTGCTAAAGGCAATTTAATTAATTAAAAAACAATTATTCCCAATGTTTCGAAGTCAATAATTTGATTTGATTTTATAAGAGAAAAAAAAGGAAGAGCATCATCGTTCAATTTGATTACATATTTTTTTTTTTTTTATCTCTTCGAATATAAATAAGCGAGCGACGCGAGAAACAAAATGACAAGAATTTCGAGGAGAAATTAATATGTTGAAAAATTCAAAGAATTTCCAATCGAATCACAATCGTCTTTCGAAGCTCTCAGAAACTTTACTTTTGTATCTAAAGGATCACTCCTTGCTACGAGTGCACTTCACTTTAATGGAAGTCGCTTTACTCGTTATCGCAAGAAAGCCATAAATGCACATCGGGTTACCTCCTACCTCATGAATGCATATTTTGGGGGGAATAATGTGATGATACACGTTCGAAATTCGCGCGTTCCCAAGGTGATGGTAAAAGGCCCCTGGGGCCCAACTTGGTGAGAGCTTCTCGAAAGCGGTACGAAAGGGACCGATCGTTGTCCTCTCCCCATTCACCATATTTTATTTTCTTATTTGTTACTTGCAATTGTAAGAGAGAGAGAGAGAGAGAGGGGAACAGAGATCGGACGTTTGATTTTACTTTTTGCAACTTTCGCCGTGCGAGTATCGATCCTTTCTCGAGCATACGAACGCACACAGATTCTTGTCATTTCTCTTCTTTTTTACATTTTTTTCTTTTCATCGTAGATGGACGAAATGCGAGGAAAGAGTCGCGAGATCGAGAAGCTTTCGAAACTACTGCAGGCCGAGAACTCCCGGAAACGGCGAAAGACGGCTGCGAAAGACGACTCACCGGTAAGTAATTTATCGTTTAATATATTTTATATCTATTATTTATTCGATCGCTTTAAAATACTTTTTATAATGTTCAACGCTTCTCATATGAAAATTTAAGAATTTTATTATTATTATTGTTATTTGTTTCAAACGAATATATAACAGCTCTTTCTCCTTCTTTTTCTTCCGGGAGAAAAAACTCACGTAATTATTATAACATTTAATATACAGCTACAAGACAATCTGAATCACGTAGGAAATCATGTATTTTATATATATACATACATATATATATATATATATATATATATATATATATATATATAAAGAAAAAAGAAGCGTCTTTAAATCAACTTTTAATTTCCCATGGCAGATTTAATTAAATACCAAATTAATATCATGATTCATGATCGCTTTTAATGAGTCACACTATCGTAGAAATGATCATTAACCGTTTTAATGATAAATTTATTTTTTCTGCTCTCGTTTCTCTAAGTACATAGTCAACAATTATTTTAGATTTAACGAATTAATCGTCACGTTATATCTAATTATTGGAAGAAAAATAAAAGATGTATCTACATTGTATCGGTAAAGAAAAAAAAAGGAAAGTAAAGAAAAGAAAAAAAAAAAAAAAAAAAAAAGAAAAAATTTGTCAATTTGAGGAAACCGACTCACAAACATTTTTGATATTTATCTTAATGGGGAAGAAGCGAAGACGTGTGTGTCGGGTCACTAGTATTGTTACCAGTCGACGTCTTTTCTCGCAAGTGCCTCAGGAAGTTGCTCGTTCGCAGAACGGAACCGTTAGACATTAGAGGTGTATACGCACGCGATAAAGAAGGAAGCTAAAGTCCCTGCGCACCTTCTACGAGTCTTCCACATTCATTCCGTGAGCCTGTCTCGACCCGACCCGAGTTAGAGGCCGCATTTACCGTAAAGAAAAGAAAAAGACTTCAAATACGTTATTACGCGCATACACCTTTTAAACTAATATCATACATTTCATGAATTTGTTTATCTAATCTACTTGATTAACGCAATTTTTTTTATCGTCGGATCATTTCTTTAACAAATTCGGCAAATCTGATTTAATTATTGCCTCTGTGTTGAATTATTATCCATTTATATGAATTATTATCCATATATATATATATATATACATGTGTGTGCGTGGGTGTGTGTAGAAAAAGAAAAAAGAATACGAAATTGAGCTGTTCTAAAAATAACATTTCATATCCTTGAGATAGTATTCTCTTTAAAAAACCACAATATATTATTATCGTATAGTTATATAAACTTATAATAATTCCGCGAAAATAAGTGACTAATTACAAATGGATTGTTACAATATTATGGAATATATTGAATTAATTTTTCTGATTAGATTTACTGAACTTTGCATAAAAATGATTAATGCAATCGATCAAAATAATTTAATCTTGTACAAAGTTTCGATCAGACAGGTTTCGCTTCACGACTGGGAAAGTTGTTATTGCCTGACGATCGAGGCAACTCATGGCAAATTGAAAATGAGATATAGTGACTTTTACGTTGGCGACAAGTTACTATGCATTCCAATGTCATGACTAGATTTAAAAACATCGAATGTAAGAAGTGGATGATTAAATAATTCAAGTCTTGATAGAATCTATCATTCATAAAAATCGATTGCAATTGAATCTAGATAATAATGGTTACACCAAATGTACATACGATTATACATGATTAGATTGAATGACAATATAAGAGAAAAAGAAGGATTAGATTATGTAGGAAAAGAAACAAAGAGTTTTGCGATACATTTAAATCAGATTAAACAATGTTTCATTTAATTATATTTTCTAAGTTATTTTATTCAGTTATCTGTTATATTTATTATTTTCTCTCTCTCTCTCTCTCTCTCTCTCTATCAATGCTAATTGATACATACAGATAATAATAATATTACGTATATATTATTATTATTATTATTGTTATCGTTATATTATAGTTGGACAAGAAAACTTAATCATCACTTTCTATCATTACACTTTACAGAAAGTCATACCAAGATAATAAATGTCAATATGTACATTCGTAAACATGGTATTAGTTCTATTCGATTACATGTATATATAGATATTCATTTCTCGTGATATCGTAGGCGAGTTGAGTTAAACATCTCCGAAGGAGAAATCTTTCTAAAACTTTGTCGTGCTTGATTCCGCTGACTCTTCGTGATGTCCATGGTGGTGCATATGTATCTACTTACATTGTACATACGTATATAGATATGTTATTACATAGGTAAGACGTGGGTTGTACGTACTAACATAAGGTAGATGCATATACGGAAGGGCATTAAACGTGCGCATATTTGAATATAATAAAGCTTAAATGTACGCATAGTGACTTAGCAGTGTGGATAAAAGAATACTAACGTGCCTACGCTAGCCAGTGTCCTTCCTTTAAAGGTCGCAATAGTTGCTTACGATTTGAAAAAAGAAGCGCCACGAGAATGTCAGCTTCTTACCAACTGAGATTATTCTTCTTCGTGGAAATATTTTGTAAGTTTCTCTTTCTTTCTTTATTTCGAATAATAAGTAAATCTTATTGCAAAAGATGCATCGTGTGATAACGTAAGATGCATGGAGAGAGAATCTGAAAAAAAAAGAAAAAAAAAAGAATAACAAAGAGGACCCTCGGTACGCGTTATTATTGCTTCTCTCAGTACTTAGTATCTCCTTGAGTATTCTTCTTCTCTCAGGGCCATCTGAGAATATGATATCTCGTAGTATGGTAACCGAGTGGGTGGTTCAACGAGTTATGTGGGTAGACGGACGGGAGATAGGTTAGAGAAGAACTTGGTGGGTGTTTAGGTGAGTAGGCTACGACACAAACGGCAAACGAGAATTATCTCTGTGTGTACGTACATGCGTGTATACGATATAAGAACAGACTATATATATATATATATATATATATATATATATATATATATATATATATGTAAATGTGTGTGTTTAGAAGTTATATACATGCATGTAAATATATATTTGTCTCATGAGTAAGTTATGTTATGTCTGTGTATATGCACACACTGAAAAACGTAGCTACGTATATACATATAATACATAAATTTTGTATGCAAACGTAGCAACGTGCTCGGGTACGTGCGAACATATTACGTTCGAAATAGAAGGAATGGACGGGTGTCTCTTCGCAGGTAGAGAGAGAGAGGTTTCACCGACTTGGACTTCGGTCTCCCCTTCAGTCTTGCTTGGACGTCGGGCGAGCGCGCACGGTCTTTGGGATCGTGATTTTTTTACCTTCAGTTAGCTTTCTTACTTTGGTCAGAGTTGACACGCGAGTACGCGTATTAGTACCCTTTGCGATTTTTTCAATTGAGTTTTAGGTTCCGTTTTTCTTTTCTTTCTTTTTCATTTTTTTTTCTTTTACTTTCGTTTCCTACTTCGGAGTAAAAGTTACATTGATTCGTACGACAGATAGAAAAAGAGAGAGGGTGGAAGAGAGAGAGAGAGAGAGAGAGAGAGAGAGTTTATAAAAAAATATAAATAAGGGAAATAAAGAAGATAAAAGAAGAAGCAGGACTTGGTCGGCGGAAAACGCCGATGTCCGGCACCGTCAACGCGGTCCTTTCATTCTCGTTATATGTGTTCTCAAGGACGACGCGCGCCTCATGGGGTTCGCGTGGAACGAGGTAAGCTTATTAGATAACTTTGCATTTTTTCTAATTTGTCTATAGGATATAAGTAGAAGAGAAATTGCTTGTACTTCTTTTTTTTTCTTTTTTATTCCATCGTAAAAATAAAAATTAGCAACGTTTTCAACATCGAATTTCAATTCGCGATACGAAAAGCAAGAATTCGATATTTCTATTCGTCTTTTGAAAGAAAAAAAAATCGTATGACTAGACAAGACGTAATCGCGAAAGAGACGAAAGGTATCTTATCGATCGAAATTCAAGACAAGCCGGAAGTGGATGAACTCGGGGAAAGTCTCCCGAGTTCTTCGCGAGTTCAATAATGTGTTAAAAGATTTTATTTAAACGAACGATAAAAATAAAAGTGAAAGAGAACTATTAGAAATAGGATAAAAGATTAATTCTTTTTCTTTCTTTCTTTTCTTTTTTTGTTTTTTTATTTTTTTTCATTTGTCGTTCATTCATCTTTTTATTTTGTTAACGAATGACTAAATTCTCATCTATAATGTAGAATTTAGCCTCGAAAAGAAATCGGAGACGACGAAAATGAAAAAGGGTTGTCTATCTCGAGGGAAAACGTGTTTCGCTCTCGTCTTTCGCGTGTCTCCTTCGAACTCTCGCACAACTGCAACGGCTCGTCGAGTTTTATTGACCTAAAAAGCCGTCGGCGACGCGAGCCAGCAGGGGGTATAGGTATAGATACGTATGTAACATACAACATTAGAACGGAGGCGCGTGCGGGTGGCCGACTCGGTTCTCGTTATCCTCGAGATACGCGTTTCTTTTCTTCGACCAATCCCCGCGATTCATGTATATATACTCACACATGTGTCTAGATATATTGTACTGTCTATCCATGCATTCATCCACGCCTACTTTCGCGCGAGAACGAGATTTCGAGAAATGCAAAGCAGGTAGTCGCTTGATATCGTTTACAGACTCAACTTATTCTCATTTTCAAATACTCGTATTCGTAAAATTATTCTGGTGATATAAATTAATGTACAATTAAAAGAATAATTGAGAACTTTTGGTATCGTTCGATGACTTTAACAAAGGATTCGAAGAGATTATAAATGTAAGTATAGGGTGATTAATGTTATCATGTTAATGTTACCTTTCAAAAGTGAAGGTGCAAAGTTTGTGACACGATCAAAAATCCCTTCGGGATCGGACAACGAATAAATATCATATATCTATGAAGAAAATTTAATAACGTTATTCCAAATCTATTAATTAATAATTAGCGAATAAGAGTATAATATCCTTTAAATTTTACCAGATAAAATTCGACGATTGAGAAATTCATTAAAATGTTTGTTAGTGTCTGAAAAATGGAGAAACGACGTATGATGATATAAGTAAATGTATACTGAATTCGAAAGTGATAGTCAAATTTAAATAACGAATTATCATCATAATCGTTAATCTCATCAATATACATATATTACATAAACGCCCGGCGAAGCATTGACCGTACGACAATATATCAAACTCTACGAAATCTCAGGGAAGAAAAAGAGACCAACAACAACTCGACCATGAGTTAGCGATCTCATTCCCAGGGAAATCGGCATAAGTGTCAGAGGGCCAGAAAGCATATATTCTCCGCGTCTTGTGTCGCAGAAAGAGAGAGAGAGAGAGAGAGAGAGAGAGAGAGAGAGAGAGAGAGAGAGAGAGAGAGGGGGGGGGGGGGGGGAGAGAAACTGACCGTGGGAAAGGCACACACAGGCTCTCCTCGTCTACTTGCTCGAGATTCGCGTTCGAAAGAAAGCTGCGTGCACGCGCTCGCGAAGGACGAGATATATAGGCGTTCCCATTGCGAATTGACTTCTCGAAGGCTCTTAAACAACAACACCGTTTGACTTAGCAACCTAAAAAAGATTTTCTAGAGTCCGATGAAAGTATTGCTCGTAATACGTGCCGTGATTTTCATTCCCTCGTAGAAATCGTCTGGGTCGGTTTAAAAAAAATAGAAGAAGTGAAATAGAAAAATTCGGACAAAACGTTTTCATGTATTTTAAAGGTATTATTGTCTTTTATACTTTGTTTTTATTCAGAATACAAAATTCTATGAGCTTTTTTTAGATAACCATATTGTTCGATATTTTTTCTTATCGATCTTTCGTACAATAAAGGTTACAAAGAAAAATAACTGTCGGATGGGTCTATAGTTCAACTTTCTATTTATTACACGTTAAAAATTGACTAAGAAAATTTTTATTATCTTCGAATATTCCAACTAATCTTATCTTTCCAACTTTCCTTTTTTTCTTTCATAGAACGTAAACTTCTCATTCGACTTTTCCATAAAAAGAGAAAAAAAAGAAAAGAAAAAGAAAAAAAAGAAAAGTTTCCATCAATGGTTAAAAGTATAAGTAAAAAAACAGAGTGTAAGATATTATTGATCGCACGGAGTTATTATTGTGACGTAAAAATGGGTGCAGTAGCTCGATGCTTTGTAATACGAATCCTCCCTTCATACCTTCAGGTAATAGCAAATTAGTAAAACTTGGCAGACACAGGAAGAGATATGACGAAGATCGTCTGGACGAATGATGAGTCACCAAGTTACCAAGAAAAAAACATGTTTTGTTAGGAGGAAATTTAAATGATTAGAAAACATTTAGGAAAAAATAATTAAAGAAAGATAAAAAAAGAGAAAGGGAGAGATAATTATATATCACAAAGATGTATCGGTGGTAGAAGATAAAAGAAGAAGAAAAGAAAAAACAACAAGAAAATATTGAAGTCACCAACGTCGAGTATTACGCGTAAGCATAATGGGATGCGCGGTAGGTCCCATGAAACGCGTTCTCGTCGCACACGTTAAAAGAAATACAAAGAGAGAGTCTTAGGTGCACTCTACGTGCCTCATACAACACACAATCGAGCATGTACGAGTGGGCACATAAGTGCTGCTCGCGCGCTCACCCATCTACTACCTATCCCTCCTAACCACCTTCATTGTCCTCCTTCGAGTTAGAACACACGACGAATACCAATGACTCTCTTCGCGATGAGCAAGGAAAAGATAGGAAAAGAAGAAGAAGAATAATAAAGAGAAAAGCAAACGATATAGCTAATGTACGTATATATGTACATTTCAAATCCTGATTCTGTAGGTTAACAATAATATTTTTTTTCTTTAGAAAATACTCGTATTTATTGTTCGTTTAATTTTTTTTACTATAATGTACATTTCATTACGAATAATTTATTTTCAATCTAATAATATTAAATAATATTTTTAATCTTCGTACTAATAACTTCTTATTGAATTAAATATCAGCGACATTACAGCGTTAGCTTGACTATGCAATGTTTTTATTTGTGTTAAAAAAAGAAAAAAAAGATAAAAGAAGGAAATAATATTAAAAAATATTCATAATAAATTCTCTCTCTCTCTCTCTCTCTCTCTCTCTCTCTCTCTGTCTCATATAAGAATTTTTACTTTTTTATTTTTCATTATTTGCATTGGAGTATTATTCTCATCCTGGGTTAAAAGAAAAAAGATCCAGTGAAAAAGTTCCCTCGTTATTTTCTCTTTGATGGTACACCGAACGCCGAAGAGAGAAAGAGAGAAAGAGAGAGAGAGAGAGTAGCCGTGGTAGGTTTTCTTGAGGGACATAAGAAGAATCAACATTGCAGGAAGTTTTATCGCCGATAGGGGGCACGGTGGTAGGTAGAAAGCACGTAGCCGGATAGCCTACCTATCGGATGATATCATACATTTGTTCACGCATACCATCCCGTACTTAGTCTCTCTCTTTCTCTCCACCCCCTCCCCTCTCTCTCTGTCTGCTTGTAAGTGTTAGGGATTTTACTATCAGGATCTTGGACATAATCGAAGACTGAATTCGTATGATCAGATTTGTACAAGCGAATTATTTTTGCTTCTATTTTTTGATTTGTCCATTTTTTCTTACTTTAGATCTAATAATTGAATAATTTTTTTTAAATATATTTTTATTAATGTATAATAATTTCTTACTTCGTTGTAATGAATATCTTCCCTCTAAACAAATAAATAAATCGCAATAAGTAAAAGTATATGTATAACAATCGTTAATTGGAGTTAAATATCACAAATCTAAAACAAACTCGTATCGGTTATAACAAATGATGGAAAAAATTTAATAACAATTGAACCATTTCCAAATATTTATTATACCATTTCGAGATATTTATTTTAGACGAATTTAGATTGATTTATCTTCTCAAAAATAAAAAAAAAAAAACAGAAAAAAGCTTTTGTTTTCTCAAAGACTTATCGATGTCGGGATCTTTTTTACCTTAGACGAGGGAGATCATTCGTTTAATGATTTCGGAATAGCGCGATCCGACTGCGTGACAAATCGACGTTCTATCGCGTGTCAAGACTACGATTGCGATAGGGCAAGAAATACGATGGACAATGGTGTTGTGAAACTGGGACGAAGGATGAATGGCAAAGCCTTGTTTCCTGCCAAGTCTTTTTTTGTTAATCTCAACTATGCATGCTGCGTCGATGGTGCGCGTATGTGTACTTTCATTTTTCTACGAATGATCATTTTTAATTGTTTTTAACGAATGAAAAATTATTCTAATGAAAAATTATTTACAAATAATATCAACTATCTAAATAATAATCATTTCATACTTCGATAATTATACGTGATTAATAATATCTACTATTTAATATGTATATATATATATATGTATATAAAGTTTGAAAAAGAAACAGCAATAAAATGATCATTATCTTGAGAGATAATCGTACAACATTTATCCCTTCTTATTTGGTAAAATGGAAGTTAGCTCGCGTTTACCGCATCTAACGACCAACGGGCATCTTTACGATACACGAACATCTTTAATTGAACTTTTACTCGTGATCTCGTTGTTACATTGAATTTCTAAACGCAATAAGAATTCGAGATTTAAACGTACTACTAATCACGAGACACGTGTAAAATGATCAGAACAAGAACGTTTCGATAATCTATTTTCCCTTG